GCTGCTGCTGTTCTTGCTGCTGCTGTTGCTCTGTTTCCGTTGCTTCTGCTGTTTCTGCTGCTGCTGCTGTTTCTGCTGCTGCTTCTGCTGCTGCCTCTGTTTCTGCTGCTGCTGCTGCTGGGCCTAGTGCTTTTGCCTGCTCCAAGCTGCACTTTCTAAACTTGCTGCTGCTGCGCTTTAGGTTTGCTGCTGACCGTCTCTTGGACCTTGTGGCTGGCCTAACGCGTCGGTTGCTGCTGCGGCTGCCCCTGCCTGCTGCTGCTGCTGGAGCTGCTGCTGCTGCTCCTGCTGCTGCTGCTCCTGCTGCTGCTGCTGGGACTGCGAATACCACAGCAGCAGACTCTCCAGAGAGACCTTCACCGGCAGGCGAAGGAGCAGCGCCGTCGTCAACAGCAGCAGCTACATCCGCAGCAGCAGCAGCAGCAGCAGCAGCAGCAGCAGCAGCAAAGAGCTCTTTCGGACGACTGTCTGCAGATCTGGAGGGCTGTTTGCTGGTTTACAGATCTCTTTTAATATTTCTTTCTTCAGTTTTAAAACCAAATTCAATTCACAAAAACCTGCAGCTGCTGCTCGCGCTGCTGCGGCTGTTCCCAGCAGCAGGGGCGACGGAGCTGCTGCAGCGCATGGACAAAGCCCTGCTCTTCTTGCAGCAGCAGCAGCAGCAGCAGCAGCAGGGAGAGCAGCAGCAGCAGGGGGAGCAGCAGCCGAAGGCACAGCACTTGAGCCAGCAGCAGGAGAAATGCCAGCTGCAGAAAGAAGCAGGAGAGCAGCAAGACTACCCGAAACAGCAGCAGCAGCAGCAGCAGCAGCAGGGAGAGCAACAACAACAGGAGAAGCAGCAGCAGATGGGGGTAAACGAGCATCAGCAGGAGCAGCAAGAGGATAACGGACATCAGCAGCAGCAGCAGCAGGACAACGAGCAGCAGCAGCAGCAGCAGTACGAAGAGCATCTGCAGCAGCAACAGGAGGACAGCGAGCAGCAGCACCAGCAGCAGCAAGGCGAAGAGCAGCAGCAGCACCAGCAGCAGCAAGGCGAAGAGCAGCAGCAGCAGCAGCAGCAGCAGCAGCAGCAGCAGAACGGCATTAACGGCTCGACTTGTGCCTCAGCGGACGAAGCTGCTGCTGCTGCTGCTCTTGGCAGCGGGCCAGGCTCTGAGGTGTACGTACACCCCAGCGAGCTGCTGCAGCTGCAGCTGCTGGCGCAGCTGCAGCCGCTGCTGTCTCCCTTTTTGCGCTTTTTGTTGTGTCTTTTGGCCATCTGCAACAAAACCCTCGAGGAGGAGGGACAGGAAGACGACGAAGTAGGGTTTAGGGTTTAGGGTTTAGGGTTTCGGGTTTGGGGTTTGGGGTTTAGGGTCCATTTCGGTGCATTTTCTGCGCTGCGTGTCTTTTTTGGACTTGCTTTTGGTTCTGTTTTGTCTTTAGGGTTTAGGGTTTAGGGTTTACGGGTTACCTTGTCTGCTGCTGCTGCTGCTGCTGCTGCTGCTGCTGCTGCTGCACTTAGGGCTCTGCAAACGAGCGGCTGATGGAGCAGCTGGCCGCAAAGCTGTCTTCTGTCTCAGTCGAATTTTCGAAAAGCAATTTGAAGACAAAAGCCAAACTGCAGCAGCAGCAGCAGCAGCAGCAGCTGCTGCAGCAGACAAAAGACAAGGAATTCCACTACCACCAGCTCTTCCAGGTCAGGCAGCCACGCGAGCAGCAGCAGCAGCACTAGCAGCACTAGCAGCAGCAGCAGCAGCAGCAGCAGCACTAGCAGCAGCAGGTTATGCTCGTATTTCTACGGGTTTAGAAGGCAGCGCGCGCAGCTGAGCAGCAGCTGCAGCAGCTGCAGCAGCTGCTGCAGCTGCTACAGCTGCTGCAGCTGCTGCCTTCATAGGAGTTAAGTTTTGGTGAGATGCATGCGTTTGCTGCTGCTGCGCAGGCAGCTGCTGCTGCTGAGGAGGCCCCCCGCATTGAATACACTGAGGCCCTCAACTCTGGCTGCTACTTCTTGCCACTTATTTGGAAATCCATTTTCCTGCTAAGTCCCAAGAGGCTTTGCTGGCGCTAGCAGCAGCAGCGGCAGCAGCAGCAGCGGCAGCAGCAGCAGCAGCAGCGGCAGCAGCAGCAGCAGCAGCGGCAGCAGCAGCAGCAGCGGCAGCAGCGGCAGCAGCAGCAGCGGCAGCAGCAGCAGCAGGAACGGCAGCGAAGAGTAGGCTATAGAAGCAGCAAATAGACAACGAGCAGCAGCGCAGCGCCGGCGGGCCTGGCAGCAGCAGCAAGAAGCAAGCAGCAGCAGCTTGCTGCTGCTGCTGCTGGCCCTAAAGAATAAAAGTTTAGAAATATTTGTTTATTAGTTTTGCAAATTTTCAGAAATTAATTAAAATGACATTTCCAAATTAATGCAATTTCAATTCCCCCAAGCGCTCGCGAGCTGTACGTACAGCGGAGCGCCGCGGGGCCGCAGCAGCTAAAAACAGATAAACCCTAAACCCTAAACCCTAAACCCTAAACCCTAGAGCAGCAGCAGCAGCGCGGCGAAGCCCCTGAGTTGGGGCGCGGCGTGTGGCCACTGGGGTGTACGTACACCCCAATTCGGCGCAGGACGGAACTGAATTTCCACCGGAGTTCAGAATCTTTTGAAATGTTTCTTTTGAAATGTTTAAATTTATTTATTTTAAATAAATCCTTTTTGGAAGCAAAGGCCTAAAGTTCTCCACTAAGGACACGCGAAGCCTTGCTGCTGCTGTCAGCAAGAGCCAGGTGCTCCCCAGCAGCAGCGCTGCAGCAGCAGCAAAGGCCGCAGCAGCAGCAGCAAAGGCCGCAGCAGCAGCGGCAGCAGCAGGGGCAGCTGCAGCAGCAGCAACGGCTGCTGCAGGAGCAGCGAAGGCTGCTGCAGCAGCAGTGAAGGCGCCAGCGGCAGCAGCAACGGCAGCAGCAGCAGCAGCAGCAACGGCAGCAGCAGCAGCAGCAGCTTTCGACAAAAGCAGCAGCAGCAGGCAGCAAAAGAAATGCTAAAATGAAAAAAAAGAAAAACAAAAAATAAAACCAAAAGGGCTGCTCCGGGATTCGAACCCGGGACCTCTCGCACCCGAAGCGAGAATCATACCCCTAGACTAAGCAGCCGCGAGTTGGGGTTTGATTTGAAGAGTTTTATTTTAATTTTAATTTTATTTAATTAAATAAAAATAATTAAATTAATTAAACCATTTAATTCAGCGAAGAGCGGGGCTAGCCCTCGCCGTAGCTGCGGCTAGCTGCAGCGGGCCGCAGCGCGCAGCAGCAAGCCGCAGCTAGCTAGCTGCAGCTAGCTGCTGCTTGCTGCAGCTAGCTGCTGCTTGCTGCTGCTTGCTGCTGCTTGCTGCTGCTTCCCGTTGGCCCTGTGGGGCCCCCCGCGGGGCTGGGGGCCCCTGTGCAGGGTCAGGGGGGAGTTGGGGAGAGAAAGAACTAAGAGAAAGAACTGCAGCAGCAAGAGCTGCTGCTGCTGCGCTCTCTGCATGCAAAGCTGGGCCCCAGGAGCTGCAAAAAGGGGCTTTTGAATGAATTGGAAGTTTGGAAAAAGTTCAAAGTGAGTTTTGGAAGAAGGGAAGGACTTAAGAAGTGATCGAGCCGCGGGCAGGAAGCAGCGGGAGGTGCTGCGGGCGCGCGGGCGCTGCACAGAGGGGCAGAAGCGAGAAGGAGAGAAGAAATAAATTAAAAAGAATATAAAAGAATGAAAAGCCCCACAAGAACAAAAGAGAAAAGTCAATTTCGAGTTTGGCTGGGGTGTAAAGACACCTGGAGAGAAAGCAGTGTGGCAGCTGAGCGGGCAGCGCCATCCCGCGGTGTACGTACACCCGAACTACCGCTTCTTTCAGACCCCTAAATAGACCCAAAGAAAGCCAAAATTTAGGAAATATTATAAAAACAAGTTTAATTTAAGCGGAAGCAAAATTATCTGCGATACAGAGCCGCTGGCGGCTCCCTAGGCTGCACGCATCCCCCCAGGGGGCCCCTCAGCAGCGAAGCAAGCGGCGGTTAGCCAGTTCGCTGGGGGAAAGCGACAGCAGTTTAAAAATGTAACAAGTTTGAATAAAAATGCTTTCGAAAAAGGGGAATTAAGGGGAGGCTGGGGGCGGCGTAGAACACACTGCAGCAGCAGCAGCAGCAGCAGCGGCGGCAGCGCCAGTCACGCCGCTGCAGCGGCAGCAGCAGCAACAGCCGCAGCAGCAGCAGCGGCAAGGAGGTGTTTGGGTGTTTGATATTTGTGTCTTGCGCAGCATTTGAGTTGTCGTTGCTTATTTAATGTAGATTTAGGGGCCGTTGAGGCTGTCGAGGGAGAGTAGCTGCTGCAGTCGCTTGCTGCTGCTGCAGCAGCAGCCGCAGCACCCGCAGCAGACAGCGCTGCGCCCTTCACCCTTTAATTCCCTTTTTCTTTTTGCAACAGGAAAAGCAATGAGGGCCAAGAGTGAGCGCGTGTATAAACCCGGAGCCAAAGAGGTGAATCTGCTGCTCGCTGCTGCCCCCCAGCTGCTGCACCTGGCCCGCTGCTGCAGCAGCAGCAGCAGCAGCTGCTGCAGCGCCGGAAGCACCACTTTTCCCCACACTCTGCAGCCCCAGCCTTTCCTCGAAGCACTTCTCTCTTTTTTTACATTTATTTGGCAGCAGCAGCAGCGCCGGGGGCCCCCAGGGGCCCTGGGGGGCCTCGGGGTCCTGCTGCCGGCCCGAAGGGCGGCCAGCAGCAGCTTGCTGCTGCTGCTGCTGCTCAGAGTTGCTGCTGCTGCTTCTCTTTATCTTTTTATTTCTATTTCCCGCTGCAATTGCGCCTCAACGGGCCCCAGAAATGACTCTTGCGGCCCCAGTTGCTGCTTGCTGCTGCGCCCCGCGCTGCCCCGTGGGGTCCTGCTGCTGCTGCTGCTGCTGCTGCTGCTGCTGCTGCTGCTGCTCCTGCCTTCTGTCCGCCCCGCTTCCGCCGCCGCTCTCCCTCGCCTCCGCCCGGCGCGCGCACGCGGGCTGCTGCTGCTGCCGCTGCAGCAGCAGCC